ATGGCAGCAGCTATTGAGGTGGGGTGGGGTGAGAAAGAACGGGGTTGAATGATAATGTGAAAACGCACGGTGCTGTTCATTAACACACGAGCACTGCAGCTGCACATGTTGGCCCTGCACACACACGCTCACGTGTCTCTTTTTCTGCTCCAGGTCGCTGCCGGAGTCGCCGGGGGTACAGGGCAGCTCTACGCCACGATGAGGACGCTTTTCCGGGCGTGCGCGTGCAGGGTTACGGGCTTGGAGCTGCTGACGATTTGGATTGCTCTGCACTTACGCTGATATTTAGCAGTGTCATTTTGCCCTTGCCAGATTTTGGAAGACGTTTTTAGCCTTCCTGTTAACTAAAGTTTCTAATCACACGCAAGCACCGAAGCAGCACAATTACACCACAAAGAGCTGTAATCAGTATTAAACGCCGAGCGCTAACGCTTAAATTTATATATGAGCTCTTCAATCAGCGTTAACGGTTATAATAAGGTATGTTCACTGCCCCATTTCTTATTTCTCAAAACGTACATGCAAGCGCAGTGTCTGCACTGCAACATGAATGATAAAATATCAGTATTACACACAAGGAACTGCTTCGTGAAGCCGAATATTTTCAGACTGTAAATTTAATTGTTAAACTCTAATGCTTTTACTTTTAAAGACAGTCGTGTGATCCCCCACAGGAGAAATATCAGGATCCCTGCTTGTCTCCTCCTCAGATTTTCGCCACACTAAGACGCTTAAAGATACTGTGCTAAATATCACGATGCAAATTTCCTAACAAAAGCCGTTTTGCATGAATTAATCTCCGAGGTTTGTCAGGTGGAAACGCGCCGTACACCACTGCCTGGTGTGCATCAGGGAGTAAAGAAGCACCATGACAGGAGAGGATGGCAGGTTTCCTTCAACCAGTGCCAGCTCATTAATTTTGTTTGCTACCCAGCAACCCCCCCACCCCCACCCCTCCCTTCCACCATCAACTACCACCACCCTTCTTCGCCCACCACCCTCACATCACCCCTTAACTGCTAATTAGCAGGAGCTGAAGAAAGCAGAAAAGGGAGAGGCCATGTGTGACTGGGGAGGAAATGGGAAACTCTTCTTTCCCCTCATCCCTCATCCTTCGTCCTGTTCCCTTCCCCCATCTCTCTCTCACACACACAGACACAGTCACACTTCCCACCTCCTGGCCACCATCACCACCACCACCATTACCACTGGTACCCAACAGAAAGCTATGATGCAGCTCACCTCGTGTGCCAGCCCAGCCATTTTAGGTGTCACGGCAAACATCTCCCAAGATGGCTCCTCTGTGCAAGCCCTTACTCCGGCAGGGTATCCGGCAGGGTCTTTGTCCCCCTCCTGGCACAGGCCAAGCGCCCACATTGGCAGTGCAGATGGCATCGGGGGCTCTCGGGCAAAAAAAGGGGTGAAGGTGGGAGAGGGGAGGTCCTTTCTTTTTATTTTCTTCTAATGGTGGATCCTTTCAGGAATCCCACAGCTTTCAGTGTTATTCAGAAGCCTGCAATACGAGCAGAAAAATAGAGAAGAGAGGAGTAAAATATGAAAAGTGCTTTACACATTTTAAGGTATCACTATAGCTAAACACGGCCTACTGTACATACTGTAAACAAGCATAAATCAGTCAGCTATGGAAACTTTAAAAGCTTTCACCAGCTGTGCTTCTTCATAGCCCAGTCCCATCTCTTGTCATGCTTGTGTGTTTTTGTACGTTTTTGCCATAAAGCCACCAAGAGAATCCTTCATATTATACAAAGTACAAAGGTTAAATCAAGAATTCCTTGGACCATCCCATATATAAAGCCTCAAGTGTTTTTATTCCCTTTCACTAAGGAGGCACGTCATGTTCACACGCTACCTATAACAGGGAAAGCTCTGGAAAAGACTCGGACCACGGCCTTTTCACATATCCAATATCTCGTTGTGAAACGAAGCAATTAGCCGCATTTGACCGCAAGCTCTACAGCAATAGGTAGTTAACAGAATGAATGAAAACTCATCTCACTTTGGTGCTCTTTAGGCTTTAGAGGCATTCTCAGGGTTGAGCGTATGCACCGAACAGCGCTGAAGTACCAAGTTGAAAAGTTCAGCTCCTGTCTACAGGATGGCCCTGGCCTTCTCATTGAGGCGAGACACAATGTATCCCAAAGGCTCTGAGATTTGCTACAGCTTTAAATACAGACACCAAGTGTTTTTATTAGCAGGGTGCTACACCACTCAACGGCATTATTAGCAGTCCTGCTGGAACAAAGCGTTCGCTTCCCCTTTCTTTCTCCTGAATGAAGTTAGAATCGGAACTGCGTGTTGTGTTTAAAATAAATGGCAAATACTCTTCAGCGAAGGAAAAAAGTAAATGAGTGACAAAGTAGAGGGTAAATTGTAAAAGATCACAACCCACTCACTATAGGCTTCCAGGGGAACATGCCAGTGTATCCTGAAGCAGGTACTTTAAGAGGAAGTTGGAGGTCCTCAAGAATGAAAATAATAATAATAAGTGTGGTTTAATAAGTGCAATTAATAATAAGTAAAGTTATTTGACTCTATGTTGTGATAATGTGATGTGTTTTTACAGAAAGAGGCAAGAAGAGCACAAATGAATAATGGCTGAATTCCATTTAGCTGTAGTTTCAGGGTCCTGGTAGTATGACCTGTTCGCCTGTTCACCTTTCCTGCTACGACTTCCCTTCTTATTAGACTGGATTTTTAAAATACTGTTAATTAATTTTTTGGCAATAAAGTTTTTCTCACATGGACCAATGCCTGCGAATGGTGAAATTTTGGGTCTTTGAGTCTCTACTGCTCCCCATCCAGCCACTGGGTGACCTGCTTTACATTCAACACCATGTTGCAAAGGACCTGAATAGACAACCCTGAAACAGGCTCAAATCCTAAAGCTCATATGAACCCTCAGGTTACACTGAGGGGCATAAGTTTAAAGGTAAAAGATGCCTGGGGGCAGAGTCCTGATTGAGATGTTAGATCATTTTATTTGCACTTGTGGCTGTTTTTATATAGTAGGTTAAAAAATTAAAATATACATTAAAAGTAGTATTGTTAGAAAATTGTTTTTCTACTCTTCTACCATAAAATAAAGGTTGTACGAAACTGACATATCCTACAATGGAAGGCCCACAAATGCACTGGTTATAGGTGAGAGAAACTCCTTATGAATTTAAATTTAGCACTAAAATCTTACTTTACACACTTCTAGTAAAACATTTTGTTGCCTTTCTAATTCACGAATATTAACAGCAGCCTCAAAGCAGAGCGTTTTCTTACCTGTTGGAGGTGAACTTCAAAATCCAACTTGGTGACTCTAAAGCCGGAGCGCCCTTTTCTTTCTGGTACGCACACACGGCTACGGAAGTCATTTCTACTTTCGGTTATCTAGCTTTATGACAGGTATTTAACACTCATACAGCTAGATAACCAAAGACAAAAACAGACCCCCTCTCTCACACTCTCTGATGCTGTAGCCCGACATGATGCTGGCGTGATATCTAGAAGGAGGTGAAGCTGCATTAGTAGGCCCGTAATATTCAAAAATACACTCCCAGATCATTTCTGCATCTTTATATTAAAATAAAAAAAGGAGCAAAAGCTATCGTCTCTACATGGAGTAAAAGATGCATGAAACGCCGCATGTTCACGATACGAAGATATGCACTGTCTTTATGCTGACATATGTTGGTGGTTTAACAAGCCGACACACATTTCTTGTCCTGCCGTGATAAGGTGTCTGTTTGAAGGCCTGCTGAATACAGAGATCAGCCTGACCTAATTGTACTCTACATGTGTGCAATTGTCATGCATCTAAAATGTAAAATAACAATAACAAATAAATAAATATTAACTCATTAGAAAAATCAAATCAGGCGTTTTGTACACACAACAGGCTATAACGCTTACATTAGCATATCTTGCAGGTAACACCCCTGTATTGCAGCTACACAAATCACAATATTTAGCATACAAATTCTCATACTTTTTAACTTCAAAATTTCTAGTGTAAAGCCGTGCAGGAGCTGTTTGAAATATTACTTTAAGCATTTCGTTGGATTTTTTTTTTTAAAAAAAAGAAAAAATCAACAGTGCTGAAAGATACTTCGATAATAACCTACAGTTATTTAGTTCATTTTGTAGGACAGACCTGTATTCTGCACAACACAACATCTTAACAATAATAACAAAAACAATTTAAGGCGAGATAAAGAGTATCACTATATGACTTGTAACAAACGACTGCCA